ACACCTCTTTCCTTGTGACGTATTATTGTGACATATTTCCTCATGGAAAAAGAGAATCTTGCCCAATTGTCTTCACCTCTCAGAGATGTTTGGAATCAAGGAGTTGAGAGTCTGAGTTGATTGGTTTGGAACCAGGACTATAAAGTAGCTCTGGCAGATGGGATGGCCATTTGAGACCACAGCAAATAAGAAGAAATGGGCTTAAATAAATCAGAGAAAGTGATAGTAACTATGAAAGAAGGCTATGGAAGTTTTAATACTTAATCAGTTATGTCCTAAATACCAGAGGCAGAACAAAGTTCAAATATACTGTCAAAGTTTCAAGATCCTGGGGCACCTGGGTGGCTCAGTCATTAAGCGTCTGCCTTCGGCTCAGGTCATGATCCCAGGGTCCTGGGATCGATCCCCACATTGGGCTCCCTGCTCCGTGGGAGCCTGCTTCTCCCTCTTCCACTCCCCCCTGCTTGTGTTCCCTCTCTCACTGTGTCTCTCTCTCTCTGTCAAATAAATAAAATCTTTAAAAAAAAAGTTTCAAGATCCCTAGATTGGTAACAAATGGTCATTTAAAAATATACATTTGTTCAGAGAATTAGATACCAGTGAATTGTGCTGATAGAGCTAAAGAACCCTTTCATGGTTTGTTCTCATTTGATACTCAAAACACTCATGAGGTGGCACTAATAATATGCCCTTTTTGCAGATAAGGAAACTTAGGCATAGGTAGGCCAAGTGATTTATCCATGATTCCATGATTCTTTGGCAGAACTGTTTGACTCTGGAGCTCTGCTCTTAAAAACCTCACTTCACTGTTTCATTAGAGCACCAAGCCAGAAGCTCTCTGTGCAAACCAGAAGTACTTGATTCGGGGATGTTAAATATTAATTATGCAATGCTTTGTTGCTCTACCAAGCTGATAAGTGAGAAAAAAATCTTATTTAAAATTTTTTAAATCTTCAATTCAACTAAAGATTATCATGTTGTTGGAATTACATTGATTGCCATCATTAATGATTGTGCCTTATCTAACGATGCTTACAAGAGATAAATCACTGATTCCTCCAAAAATTAAAAAAAAAGGATCTGATATTATGAATCAGCTCCAAAATAGGTGATTGTGAAGACTAGTAAAACAGAGTCACCATGTTTCTGATTCTGAAACATCCATGGGAAGTGGAATGTCATGGTAGGACAAGTTCAGGCTTTGTAGTGAGGTAGAGTGGGTTACTGGGTTTAAATGCTGGTAATGCCATGTGACAACATTATCGCTTAAGTCTGGTATTCACTCTCTCTGAATCTTGGTTTTCTTAGATGCTTAGCGAGGATAAAAATGCCCACCTCTTGGGCTTAGGCCTAGGATTAAACAAAATGTGTGACATTTGGTACATATAGTATGAATACAATAAATGAAGGCTGATATTATTTTTATATTCAGAGTCAATGGAAGGAATTGGCTATGAAAATTCCAAAATGATCCCATCATACCATCTTTGGATATTACATTTTACTAGTGAGGACATGTGGGCTTCCCAAGGCTCAGAGATGGGATGGTGGAATGTTCTTTCATTGAGAGAGATTAGAAAAGCTTTATAAATTTTTGTGAATGTATTAGTTTTCTATTGCTGCTTCAACAAATTATCACAAGCTTAGCTGCTTAAAACAGCACAGATTTTACACCTGAAAATAATATAAGCTTGTATATCGATTATATTTCAATAAAAGCCCACAAATTTATTACCTTAGAGTTATGGAGATCAGAAGTCTGACATGGGTCTCTGTAGGCTAAAACTAAGATGCCTCCAGGGTCACATTTCTTTCCAAAGGATCTAGAGGACAGTCTTTCTTGGCTCATTGAAATTGCTGGAAGAATTCAGTTTCTTGTGGTTGTAGGACTGAAGTCCTCATTTCCTTGATGGTTATCAACTGAGGGCCATTTTCAGTTTCTGGAAGCCACCTGCATTCCTTGGCAAGTGGCTCCCTTCCTTCTTCCATTCTCAAAGCTGGCAATAGTGGGTTGAGTCCTTCTTAACCTGCTACCTCTCCTACCTCTTCTATTGTTCTACCTTTCTGACCCACTCCTCTGCTCTACTCTTTCACTTCTAAGGACTTATGTAGTTAGATTGGGCCCATTTGAACCATCTAGAGAAATCTTCCCATCTCAAGATACTTAGCCTTAATCACATCTGCAAATCCTTTTTGCTACGTAAAGTAACATATTCACATGTTGCATGGATTAGGGCATGGACATCTTTTTGGGGCTGGAGTATTCTGTTTATCAAGTGAGTAATGGCATACAAATGGGTCTTCCAAGTATGGAGTTGTTATGCATGATTCACATTATGTTCTGGTTTGCAAAAAAAGTGAGCAGTTGTTAAAAATATCCACTCTTACAGATAGATAGATAGATAGATAGATAGATAACACATGACCTTGCATAATTTGGCATCTGCTTACCCTGCTTACCTCTTACCATTCTTATTCTTTCTCTGCTCAGCTATACATTCTCATTATACTGAACTTAGAGTTCCCAGATAGAGACATACTTGGCTAAATTACAATATACAAGCAAACAATGGCCAGTCCATATATGATAATAAAACTCTGATCCACAAAAGAAACCTAGGAAGCCAAACCACAGCCTCTGCAGCAATTGGTCCAGAATAATCAGAACTTGATCAGCATCTGCCAACTTTTGTTTTTTGTTGTTGTTGGTGGTGGTTTGTTCCCCTGCTACCTGCTTCCAACTTAGGACCAACCACAGAAAGCCAAATAAGTGGCCCAAAGTGATTGCTTGGGATGCCCCTCTTCTAGTTATCTCACCTCCAGCCTCCCTGTGCCAAAAACTTCCAATCAGACGGTAACTGAAGCCTTCTCCTTCCCCTCCTTTTTGTCACTATAAAGCTTTCCCTCTTCCCTGACAGCCTTTGAGTATCTGTCAAATGCAATGGATGATGGCTGACTCCCTTGGTAAGCAAACTCTGAATAAATAGACTGCTCACATTTAGGTGGTCTTTGTTTATTTTCACACCTCCTTTACTCTTTCATGTATTTGTTTCCTTTTTTTCTCTTCTTGGATCACTCGTTCTTCCTTCCCTTACATGAGTAATTTATATTCATCATTTGACTGTCAGCTTAGATGTCACTAATGACAACAATAACAATGATTATTAAAATGATAGCTAACCTGTACTGAGCCCTTACCTTATGCCAAGAGCTGTTCTAACCATGTTCAACTTATCAACTCTTTAAGCTCTTGGAATAAATTATTGAAGTAGGTTTCTATTACTGTCCACATTTTACAGACAGGGAAAGATAATTCAGAGAGATAAAGTAACCTGCCTAAGGTCACTGAAGTAGGTGAAGGAATTGGGGTAGAATGTAGGTAGCCGTTGCTGTAGTTCATTTTTGAAATCATGATGCTGGGGCACCTGGGTGGCTCAGTTGTTAAGCATCTGCCTTCGGCTCAGGTCATGATCCCAGGGTCCTGGGATTGGGCTCCTTCCACATTGGGCTTGCTCTGCATTGGGCTCCCTGCTCAGCGGGAAGACTGCTTCTCCCTCTGCCTCTCCCTCTCCCTCTGCTTGTGTTCCCTCTCTCACTGCATTTCTCTCTGTCAAATAAATAAATAAAATCTTAAAAAAAAAAAAGAAATCATGATGCTATATTGCTTTCAAAATAGATTTTCAAATATTCTCAGTTTGGAATGGGTACTCCATATCCTATGCTTAAATGGTATTCTGCACTTTATCTTTACCAATGTAATACTGTATTATAATTGTTTATGAATTTATTTGTAGTCCCTATTAAAATTGAAGCTCCCTTAGGCCAAGGACAGTATATATCTTACATATGTTTGTAAGTCCAGCATATAGTAGCTTCTCTATACATGTGTATTTGAGGGATGAATAAATTAATGATTTAATGAAACTAATTCAAATGTCTGAATTATTTTTTAATTAGAGGATACTAAGTTAAAAAAAGAGAGAGGAAGGGACCCTACTTCTAGACAAACTTTGAAAGCAACACAATTCTACATATGAATTTACAATTATTATCCAGGAAACAATGTCGAAATAGGATAGCTTCTCTCTCCTGAGCTTCAGTTTCTTCCATAATCTTAGACATAAAAATCACATGATGCACTAATACTGGTCTCTCCCCAGTAAGTCTCTTCCAGTTAGGAGTTATTATTAGGTCAGACCCAACATCTTCTTGGCATTGGTTTCTGAGGCAGAGTATCTCTAAGTTAATAACATTTCTCTGAACTCTGCCTCAATCCTAAAAACTCTCCAACACACTTGCAGTGCTGGAGAATTAGCTGAGAGCGAGGGGTGGCTATGCATTCTCATGGACTACGTCAGGATCTTGAAGCAAAGTCCCCAACCATGTTCCTTAACATGCCAAGCCTCTGGCCAACTGCCCTTGTAACCCACATTCTGGGAGCTCTTATTCATGCTCAGTGGGTCTCCTTTTTAGACTTGTAAGACTCATATATCTGGAGAAGCACCCAGGCAGCCATCAGTTCTGTTACTTTATATTTAATACCACCGAGAACCATTCAGTCGTTCAACTAATATTTATTGAGTATCTACTGAATTCCTAGTATTGTTCCAGGATTTGGGGAACCAGAAGTAATTAGATAAGGCCCCAGGTATTATGAGGCTTGTATTCTAGTGCGGTTAAGAGACAAATCAAGCATACAAACAAAATAAATTCAGTAAGTGTGGCCATAACACAAATTTATGTGGTAGCAACTTGCCCAAATGTATCCCTGTCAGAACATATGTGTTCCACGTCTTCTGACATACCCCGACCCCCCGGTTCTTCCTTGGAATTTTGAATGTTTCCTTCCAAACTTTAATTGATGATATGTAGGAAGTAACAAACCTTATTTTGGATAAAGTTATTTAGGAAATTATTCCTTATCCTTTCCTAGTCTTTACTTATTGTCAATGTTCTAAAAATAACTTTTCTTCAGTACTTCCCTTTTGTTTTTCTCCTAGGAATTGACTATTACAACAAGATCATTGATGATTTGTTAACTAATGCGGTTACGCCTATAGTGACCCTCTACCACTATGATTTGCCTCAGGCCTTAGAAGACAAAGGAGGTTGGTTGTCAGAGGCAATCATTGAATCCTTTGATAAATATGCCCGGTTTTGCTTCATTACTTTTGGAGATCGAGTTCAGCGGTGGATCACCATAAATGAGCCTAATGTTTTTGCCCTGCTGGCATATGATTTTGGAATATATCCTCCTGGTGTACCTCACTTTGGAACTGGAGGTTATCAGGCAGCTCGTAATTTGATTAAAGCTCACGCCAGATCCTGGCACAGCTATGATTCCTTATTCGGAAAAGTGCAGAAGGGTGTGGTGTCCCTAGCAATTTTTGCTACCTGGGGGGAACCGGCAGATCCCAACTCAGTGTCTGACCAGGAAGCTGCTAAAAGAGCCCTTGCTTTCTGCTTGGATTTCTTTGCTAAACCCATATTTACTGTTGGTGATTATCCGGAAGTTGTCAAGTCCCAGATTGCCTTCAGGAGTAAAAAGCAAGGCTATCCATCATCAAGGCTTCCAGAATTTACAGAAGAAGAGAAGAGAATGAATAAATGCACTGCTGATTTCTTTGCTGTGCATTATTATACAACTCGCTTAGTCAAGTACCAGGAGAATAAGAAAGAACTGGTTTTTTTCCAGGATGTGGAGATTCAAGTTTTTCCAGACCCAACTTGGATAAGAAGTTTGGATTGGATCTACGTGGTGCCATGGGAAATACGTAAAGTACTGCAAACATTAAGGTAAAACACATTGTTTCTGTTCATGTGTACCCAAATATGTAGAAATGGGAAGACAGACATATGTGTGAACTTGGAAAAAGAATGATTTTAGGCAGTAGGTTATACATTTGTTGGCTTGGGAAGAGAGATTAGGATTTAAATTGGTGAGAAGTAACTAGCTGATAAGGGGCTTCAATACCATGATTAAAGTTGGGATTCTCTGTTAAAGTCAGTTGTGGGCTTAGGAATAGCTTGGACATATTTTCCAGGCTGATGTCACAACTGTAATTATTAAAAGGCATATTAAGGACTGAAATAGCTGGATCCTTTTTGGGCCTCTGCTATCTGGATGGAGTCCAGGTAGCTGAAATTAAAATTTTAAGTTAATGATTTTTAGGACCCTTGCTGTGGGGGGATAGAGAGTGTAGCTGTTGGTGGGACCAAGGGGTTAAAGAGTAGTGACAATCAGCAGATGCTGATGGAAGAAAGATATTTCTGTCTTCTCATTATGACAAGAGTCATTTGACTGTCTTCATGGACATTTGCACAGTTTTGCTTTTCCATTGTTAGTCATAAAAGGTCAGTGTGTGGAAAATTAAGTTAATAGGGTCAGTGCAATTTGATGAAAACTAGTTTGGGGTTGTAGCTTAGAGAAGATAGACGGTAAAGCACCTGATTTTATGAGTCTTTTTTTTTTTTTTACATCTGTTCGGAATAAAACTTCTGCTCTCTTGTTCCAGGATACGTATAATAACCCTGTAATTTACATCACTGAGAATGGGTTTCCCCAGGGTGACCCTGCATCTCTTGATGACACTCAGCGCTGGGAGTATTTCAGACAGACATTTCAGGAACTGTTCAAAGGTACCATTTGAAATGATGAAAGATCAATTGTGCAAACTTAATATAATTTTCCCATGTGCCTATTTGCATTCAGCAAAGATCAATGATTTTGAAAGCTGAAATTCATGTAAATCAGTGTAAAGCCATGTAATTAAGAGAGAGGAGAAAAAGTATTTAGGAAAGAGGAAGGTGAGGATTTTGGCCTAGCTTCAATCTCCTAAAATTTAATCAAGGAAGAGACTGTCTTCCGTATTTTGTGACTCCTGGGTGAAGGTGACATGAACAGAGGGTGGTGGCTGTTGAAAGAGAACATTAGCTGTTATAAAAAGATTAGCACTGAACAACTGCATCATGCCTATTTACATATTTTAATATGCTAACTATTAAGAAATGAATTGACAGAATTTTTTAAAGGATCAAAATTAAGTATTTATGCAATAAACATTAAAATGGCCTTCAATGAGTTTTGGCCTAAAATGAGTCTTCCATCGCTGTATGTTTCATTTAAGCTGCAACCAAACAGAGCCATTTAGGAACATGTTTTTGTCATATAGAATCTGTGAATTTTATTTCAAGACACGGTTATTATTCTGACAACTGCTCTTTCCCCATGGAATTCTTTTCATATTTGAAAACAAATGTGAAAGAATAATCTTTAACTGGTAACACATATTTTGACACCAGTTAATTTCCCCATTCCAGCATCTACTTGGAACACTGTTGCTTTGTAAATTTAATTTCTCCTCCCTATAAAGGAACCATAACACAGAAACAAAATCCAATGCAAAAATGAGACTTTCAATTTCCTTTTTTTTACCATGATAGGCACACTTCTCTCTAATCATTCTATTTGAAAGGTCATAGAATTATTCTATTCAAAATTAATCAGTAATATACTGAAATCAGCCAGAAGGAATTCTGGAAAGTGACACAAAATGGTCTCCTTTCCAACCCTAAAATGTATTGTACTCAATCCCTCACTCTGGCTTGGAGTTTATTGGCAGAGGGCAACTGGATTCCTATGATTTGAACCAAGTGAAATTCTCTCTAGGTAAGAATTCACTTTCTGATTAAAAAAAAAAAGAAAAAAAGGAAATGTCTAGTTGTCTGAGATTCCATTCCCCCCTCTCCCTGTAAACGGCCCTATTCATAGTTAATCCATTGATGTTCCCAGCTTCATTCCAAGAGGAAAGTAAGCTAGTTACCAACAGGCAGATGGTATGAGGACCACAAATGACTTGTCCAAAATTGTTCTGTGTATTTTTGGGAAAAGAGAGAAAAATAGAAACTGATTTTCTTCATTTCTAGCATGGTACTCTGTTTAGTACTAACATAAGGGCATTTCATTGTTCTTTGAAATAGTTTCAAGTATTTAATACAGTCCCTTAGATCTTTAACAGTAAAAAAAAGGTAGTCGACCCACAAACTAAGACAACTTAAACATAGAAAAATAATTGAAGGTGAAAGTGGAAAATGTGAGAAGATTTGAGTTTCTGAGGGGCAGGGGAGGAGATAGGATTAGAAACAAAATTCTGTTTTTCTACTTGTTGAATTTCAATAGTGTCTTTAAACAGATGGAAAAAGATACCAGGCACTTAAAACATTAATTGTTCACAGTATGTATGTTCTCTTCTGATTTCTAACATTAGATGATTTATATTCATTGTAATTAGCACATAATATTATATTTGCTTTACATTTTAAAAATGTAGCCTTTCAAATGTGTAGAAATCTTATTGACAAAAAAAGATATGTGTTATCTCTTCTGGAGTGGGTATAGTGATAGCAATTTCTTATATATTGTTGTAGTAGACACCAATTATTTAATCTTCGTGAAACTCTTCTAGTAATTACTCCCTTTTCTTCAAGAAATATCCACCTCTTCTTATCCTCGGGCTTACCACAGGGACAACCATGCAAGTAGAATATAATACCCCTCATTGTTAACACAGAATTGGTTGGTTTAAATGTAGGCACATGACATGAACTGGGCCAATCCCAGTTCTTCACCGAGATTTAGAATTTGGGCCACTCACTTTGTCTCTTAGCCTAGGTTGGGCAGGGGAATGTAGCTTTGTAAGCCGTTGGTGGCTATGTTCTGTCACGGAAGCTAAGGAGTAGTACGAAGGAGAGCTGCAGGTGCATTGAGGTAAGTGGAGACAAGAAACAGGGAGAGTTTTAGAGTGTGACTAAAGCTTCTAATTCCAGTTTTTCCTCAGACCCAGCTGCACGCATGATCTTGAGAGACATTACTTTTACTTATAATGAAATGCTCTTTCTGCTTCACCTGAATTCGATTGGTTTTCTATCACTTGGAACAAAAAGAGTGTTAACTGATACCATCATATCACTTCATTTTCAAAGCAGTGAGATGAGGTCATTGTTCCTATTATACAGATGAGAAGACTGAGTTTCATAGAGGCTAGCTAAGTCATTTGTTCAAGATCACAAAGTGACTAATATTTCCTGGAACCAAGCAGAATGCTGCTACTACTATTTTGGTATTTGATGAGGTCTGTGAGTTCAGGGCTTTCTGACTCACAGTGGTTGCTTGTCATACCATACAGAACCTTTTCCTCACCTTTGGTACTAAGAACTTGCATAGATTCTTCGAAAGGTCTCCATGCTCTCCCTGCAGGAGCCAATAGGTCCTATGACCTTGGACACTGCGCAGACACCCCCTATCCTGCCTCTTGTCAGGGAGTGGAGCTTAATTTACTAATCAGTTTTCTGGGACTCCTTTGAGGTAGTGCTGATGATCTTGATTGGCAAGAACTTTACTAGTAAGAAGCACCCTGTGTGCAATTAAAAATAATAACAGGCCAAGGAAGACATTCGTGGGAAGCGCTGCAGGTGAGAGCCGGTCAGAACCCAGGGAGTCAGATGGATGATGGCTTTGTGATCCCCACAAACAAAACCTTCTCTCTAACATCACACATATGGACAGGCACAGAATGACACTAGAGTTGGATCAATGACATCCGCCTGGAGGTCTTACTGATCTCTTCAGGTACAATCCCACAGCAGTTAATTGAGCAGTAAAGAGTAAGCTAATGTTTCTATTTCCTTTTGGGAAGGATAAAGAAAAAAAAGAAAAATGTCATTTCAAGAAAAAAAAGAGAAATCAGCTAATGCCTTTTTAATCATTGCATTATTTAAATGCCTTTAAAAAGGTTGTGTTTTAGTTAATGTAGATATAGATAAGGGAAAAGCAACACAGGAGAGACACGAAAAACTTGCAGTAACATATAACTAGGCTTACATTTCAGCTCTGCGAATTATTCGATGAGGGGCCTTTGGCAAATTGTTCAACCTCCCAAACTCTCAGTTTGTTCATCTGTAAAAGTGGATTAACACTTTCCCCTGACAGGGTCGTTGTAAAGATTCCATTTAATGAGCTAATATGTAATCACCCCCAACCAGCAATTGCCTGGCACACAGTAGGCTCTCAACCGATGGTAATAATTATTGTTACTACAAAATGTGTACTCTTAAGAATATATTTATCACCCCAAGTTATTTAACTTGTTATTTTAAAAATGTCATCCCAAGACTTTTTTTTTTAATTTTCCACCAAGTATTTAAGTTATAGCAGAATATTCCCCCACGTCTGCAGGTTTCTCCATCATTCTTTTCTTAATTTTTTTATTGTTATGTTAATCACCATACATTACATCATTAGTTTTTGATGTAGTGTTCCATGATTCATTGTTTGTGCATAACACCCAGTGCTCCACGCAGAACATGCCCTCTTTAATACCCATCACCAGACTAACCCATCCCCCCACCCCCCTCCCCTCTAGAAACCTCAGTTTGATTTTCAGAGTCCATCGTCTCTCATGGTTCATCTTCCCCCCGACTTACTCCCCTTCATTCTTCCCCTCCTGCTATCTTCTTCTTCTTCTTTTTTTTTCTTAACATATATTGCATTATTTGTTTCAGAAGTACAAGTCTGTGATTCAACAGTCTTGCACAATTCACAGCGCTCACCATAGCACATACCCTCCCCAATGCCTATCACCCAGCCACCCCATCCCTCCCACCCCCCCCACTCCAGCAACCCTCAGTTTGTTTCCTGAGGTTAAAAATTCCTCATATCAGCGAGGTCATATGATACATGTCTTTCTCTGATTGACTTATTTCACTCAGCATAACACCCTCCAGTTCCATCCATGTCATTGCAAATGGCAAGATCTCATTCCTTTTTATGGCTGCATAATATTCCATTGTGTATATATACCACATCTTCTTTATCCACCCATCTGTTGATGGACATCTTGGCTCTTTCCACAGTTTGGCTATTGTGGACATTGCTGCTATAAACGTCGGGGTGCACGTACCCCTTCGGATCCCTACATTTGTATCTTTGGGGTAAATACCCAGTAGTGCAATTGCTGGATTGTATGGTAGTTCTATTTTCAACTGTTTGAGGAGCGTCCATACTGTTTTCCAGATTGGCTGCACCAGCTTGCATTCCCACCAACAGTGTAGGAGGGTTCCCCTTTCTCCACATCCCAGCCAACATCTGCTGTTTCCTGACTTGTTAATTCTAGCCATTCTGACTGGTGTGAGGTGGTATCTCATTGAGGTTTTGATTTGGATTTCCCTGATGCCGAGCGATGTT